TGGAATTGTTGAAAGCTTTTCTTCATTACTCGGTCTGGTTCTATACTTACTGTTTGTTTTGAAAATATTTGAGAACATTAAATAATAAGACTTATAACAAACTCATTTCATTACACCACATCAATGTGTACAAAAACGTCTTGTGGTGCAGTGGTATTTGTCTTTTCAAAAGCTTGAATATGGCGGGTTCGAATCTTGAACTATGCAAAATTTAAATTTTTTGTTTTTTTCTTTAGTAAAATGAGCATCAAATTTTAGTAGGCTTTAGGCATCACAAAATTTTGGGCCGGCCCTGACAACAAATCCACTAGTTAACTTAACTAATCTTTCAAACTTAACTCCACTTACATTTTCTTAATTTGGTTGGAGAACCAAAATGACATTACTCAACAATCTTAATGTAAAGAATATGCTAACCTTTTATTTTTGGAACTTGTTTATTTTGGTCTTAGGATGTACATATGCTATTATAGGTCAATAAATGGTGAGAAGACAAAGAATCTATGATAAATCAACTAAATCATGCTATCAATATAACCTTGTTCATTAAAAGAGTTTTAAGAAAAAATTTTGCTTGTTATAATTTACTATTAATGAAATACTTTACTATGTCGAAAGCCATGAGTTGAGATATATTTTGGCTACTCAACCACAATCGAATATCACATTGAGTTCTCGGAGCCAATTCAATTTGCATATTGTAAACTAAATAAAGTATGATCTCTTATTAATTGAGAAAACCAGTTTTATTGTTTTGTAAATATTTTGTACATAAAGTTTGAGAAAATATCATCTGAAGAAAAAAAATTATTTTTTAACAAGGTAGATTCTTCAAGCTGCAAACAACTTCTCATTTTAATGGAAAAATCTCATAAAAAACCGCCAAGTTAAAACATTTTCCTAAGTCAAACTTTCAAAAAATATTTGTTCCTATATAAAATCTTCAAATTAAAAAATTTTCCCAAATAAATCCTCCAACTTCTGTTGTTCCCTTATAAGACCTCAAACTAATGAATTTTGGCTTATAAACTTTCAAGTTGTTAGACTTGAGCTCGAACAATTGTTGACTAATGGTCAACTATAATTCCGTTTCGAATAGTAAATGGCCGTTGATAACATATTTCTCGTTTATTTAATCTTCAAAATTCAACCATTGTCCAGACTCAAATTTGACGACTTGAATTTCATTTAGGGAAAGTTAATTAGTTAACCACTTGAAGCCAAAGATTATTCCCTACCAACCTACGGAAGCCCAAGTAAAAGAAAAGATTATGAACTTGAAGAAGAAATATAAAAAAGTTACAAGTTTTGTGACTAGGGGAGAGAATGGAGAAGACAAATCTGTATATCCTCAAGACTTTCAACTGTGGAAACAAATTTGGGGAGATGATGGTATTCTTCCATACAAGAAGAGAGGCTAGAGAAGCATGACTCACCACTGAACAAACTAGACACATAATTGGAATTGATGTCTGGTTTGATGTAGTAGAGAGGTACTCGAATTGGCAACAAAATGACGTTAATTGTTGTTTTCTATCGATAGATCATATCTGCCATCAAAAAGTTATTCTGGGAGAGGATGGTTCATACCGAGGTACTCTAATGCGTGGGTATAACAAACACAACCAAACACTTTTAGAACATGAACACTTGTAAATAATTTTAATAAAACAAAATAGAAATATAAATTATTTTTATTCAAATAAAATTAAAATTATGAAACCGTAAGTATGAAATTGGAATTTTATTCCAAATAAAAATAATATTAATGATTTATTCTAATTGTAAGGGTAAAATTGGAATTTTATTTTTGTTATAAAACTGTAAGTATGAAAATAACAACATTTTATTTTTAAAGGTATTAAATCGTATATTTTAACTATTATGTGTTTTTTCTTCCAACCAAAAAAATTTGGGTATTAAACGTCCAAATAAAAAATAAACCAGGGGTTTTTCGGGTGTTTTCCCAATCTTATTGTTGAGGATTTTTTATTGAATGCTCGAGGTTGTTAATAAAAAAAAAATTAGTAATCTCCACATTACAAGAGCAAATCAACTAGTGCAAAGATACATGTTTTCATCTCTCTTATGTGATTCAAGAATAAAGTTAAATCTATTTTTTGTATAGGTAATTTTTTATCATTAACTACCAACTTTTCATTTTCTAAAGTGTTATCTTTACAGTAATATGGAAAAAATAGTAAACACCATGACAGAAGAATTTTAGAACACCACTAATGAAATACTCAGGTATGTCAAAGTATATTAGTTGAGATGTATTTTACTTACTTAACCACAATTAAATATCACTATCATTGAATGCTCATAGCGAATTCAATTTGCAGATTAGAGTACTACAAAAGGTTTGATATTTTATTAATTGAAAATAATTAAAAAAGTTTCAATTTTGTAAATCTCTTGTACACACATTCTCGTTGTTGGATGGTCAAATTTCATTGTTGCTTTAATTTTTTTGTCAACCAGACATTAATTAAAAAGTCACTCCATGATTGGTAGCCCAATTTCATTGTTGCTTTAATGTTTTGAAGTTTTAAAATCATCAATCGCATTTGGAGTGTTAACATTAGATTATGATGTATATGAATCCAAGGGACAAATATAGAGTATAATCTCTCTTAATGATGTCACATCTTCTTAATGAGTATGTTTAATATAGTCTTCTCTTTAAATGTAGCTCACTTTGAGGTTTTCATTGGTATAGAACCAGATTTGTGGTATGGAATTCTTGAAAGCTTTTCTTCATTACTCGGTCTGGTTCTATACTTACTGTTTGTTTTGAAAATATTTGAGAACATTAAATAATAAGACTTATAACAAACTCATTTCATTACACCACATCAATGTGTACAAAAACGTCTTGTGGTGCAGTGGTATTTGTCTTTTCAAAAGCTTGAATATGGCGGGTTCGAATCTTGAACTATGCAAAATTTAAATTTTTTGTTTTTTTCTTTAGTAAAATGAGCATCAAATTTTAGTAGGCTTTAGGCATCACAAAACTTTGGGCCGGCCCTGACAACAATTCCACTAGTTAACTTAACTAATCTTTCAAACTTAACTCCACTTACATTTTCTTAATTTGGTTGGAGAACCAAAATGACATTACTCAACAATATTAATGTAAAGAATATGCTAACGTTTTATTTTTGGAACTTGTTTATTTCGCTCTTAGGATGTACATATGCTATTATAGTTCAATAAATGGTGAGAAGACAAGGAATCTATGATAAATCAACTAAATCATGCTATCTATATAACCTTGTTCATTAAAAGAGTTTTAAGAAAAAAATTTACTTGTTATAATTTACTATTAATGAAATACTTTACTATGTCGAAAGCTATGAGTTGAGATATATTTTGGCTACTCAACCACAATCGAATATCACATTGAGTTCTCGGAGCCAATTCAATTTGCATATTGGAAACTAAATAAAGTATGATCTCTTATTAATTGAGAAAACGAGTTTTATTGTTTTGTAAATATTTTGTACATACAGTTTGAGAAAATATCATATGAAGAAAAAAAATTATTTTTTAACAAGGTAGATTCTTCAAGCTGCAAACAACTTCTCATTTTAATGGAAAAATCTCAGAAAAAACCGCCAAGTTAAAACATTTTCCTAAGTCAAACTTTCAAAAAATATTTGTTCCTATATAAAATCTTCAAATTAAAAATTTTCCCAAATAAATTCTCCAACTTTTGTTGTTCCCTTATAAGACCTCAAACTAATGAATTTTGGCTTATAAACTTTCAAGTTGTTAGACTTGAGCTCGAACAATTGTTGACTAATGGTCAACTATAATTCCGTTCCGAATAGTAAATGGCCGTTGATAACATATTTCTCGTTTATTTAATCTTCAAAATTCAACCATTGTTCAGGCTCAAATTTGACGACTTGAATTTTATTTAGGGAAAGTTAATTAGTTGAAGGTTATATTGGAGGGTTTAGTTGAACCTTATAATGAAAAGCCTATTTTCTATATGTTTAATATGCAAAATGTCTTGGAATACGTCATAATGATTGACATTGAAAGAGCAGAAACACGCCCTCTCGTACATCGGTAGGGTGATGACATACTCAAGAAAAAACTCTTCATGCATTACATGACCATCCAATGCCTGCCAATATTTCTATTTTTGAACCAGAATACGAAAACATCAAAAATATAAGTGCAAAATATGCAAAAAAAAATAAACATGTAATTTATTTGTTTAACATAATTTCCTTTTTATCTTAGACAAAACTTGCTCAATAATACATTCTACATATCAGTACTTAAACACATTTTTTTTTAATCAGATAACAAATTTTAACTCTCATATTATACTTTCTAATTTTTAAAAAATCTATTACTGCATAACATCATCTTTTATTAAATGAACTTACATGTTTAATTTTCTGATTACTTTTTGGTATTGATCATCTTTATGTTGCTGTTCAAAGAATCGGTATAAACGAGTGTTTTAAACGATGGAGGAATCTTTGTCGTGAAACAACAAGCCTCGATGTCAAAGAATCCGAGGTCATGAAATTATCTGTTTTCGATAGAGAAACTGTAGAAACCACAAGGCTTGATGGAGTTTTTTTTGTTCGCGTGAATGAATCCTAAGGTTTACTAGTAGTAAATTCATTGAAAATGCCATTAAGCAGTATTCATATTTATAGCAGTTTTTTGTTCTTTTGATGATACAAACAAAAAGGCCATAGGCCCAACGACATAAATTAAAACTGAAATTTTAAGACTGGAAAATCTAAAAACAGCCCAAGCCCAATAAATGAGAACCCATAGCCCACGAAGGAGATTGCATTGGTTGCAAAAGATGGTTTCGATTCTTTGAAGTTTGAATCTTCTTCTTCTTTGCACAAGTCGCTCTCAATGATACCTCCTCACTCAAGTCACACTCAACGAACAAAATCTCTACAAAATGGGTCACACAGATCCACCACTAACTTCAACACTTATCTTCACGACTACACTTCTGTCTTTACTTCCTCTCTTGTCGTAGCCAGAAAAAAACAAAACATCATGACAGAAAAATCCGGAGAAATCGGTCGTTTGAACGAGCTCAAGGCTTTTGTCTCGTCGAAAACAGGAGTCAAAGGACTCGTCGATACCAAAATAACAGAAGTTCCTCGAATCTTTCATGTCCCTTCTTCTACTACTATATCTAACAACAAACCTTCTGATATCTCCAGCTTAAACCTCACTGTCCCAATAATCGACCTCGGAGATGGTAACACATCTGCAAGAAACGTTGTCGTTTCGAAGATTAAAGAAGCAGCTGAGAATTGGGGATTTTTCCAAGTGATCAATCATGGTATTCCTTTAACTGTTCTTGAAGAGATTAAACAAGGAGTTCGAAGATTTCATGAAGAAGATCCAGAGATCAAGAAGCAGTATTTTGCTAAAGATTTCAATAAAAGATTTGCTTACAACACCAACTTCGATATTTATCATTCTTCTCCTATGAATTGGAGAGACTCTTTCACTTGTTACACTTGTGTTCAAGATCCTCTAAAGCCAGAGGAAATCCCACTAGCTTGCAGGTAAAAAGTTTAGCAATTTTGATTTCGCATTTTTAGTGTTTTGATGTTTCTGAATTAACGATGATACGATCTTAGGGATGTTGTGATTGAATACTCGAAGCATGTAATGGAATTAGGAGGTTTACTCTTCCAACTTCTATCAGAAGCTTTAGGTTTAGACTCTGAGATTCTTAAGAACATGGATTGTCTCAAGGGTTTGCTTATGCTCTGCCATTACTATCCACCTTGCCCACAACCTGACCTAACTTTGGGCATAAGTAAACACACCGACAATTCCTTCATCACAATTCTTCTTCAAGATCAAATCGGTGGTCTTCAAGTTCTTCATCAAGATTCTTGGGTAGATGTAACTCCTGTTCCTGGAGCTCTTGTCGTCAGCATCGGTGATTTCATGCAGGCAAGTTCGATTGATGCATCCTTTTAACTCAAAACAGAGTCTTTATTTACCAATACATTTGAGTCATTTTGTTTTGCAGCTGATCACGAACGATAAGTTCTTGAGTATGGAGCATAGGGTACGTGCAAACAGAGAAGGACCGCGGATTTCAGTTGCGTGCTTTGTTAGCTCGGGAGTGTTTCCAAATTCCACGCTTTATGGACCGATAAAAGAGCTTCTTTCTGATGAAAACCCTGCAAAGTACAGAGACATCACTATACCAGATAACACTGTAGGATACCTTGCGGACATCTTTGATGGAAAATCGCATTTGTCTAAGTTCAGGATATGAAGAAAAGACTTATCTGGCTTAGTTAAAAATAGATACATGTGTGTGTTTTGCATCTGTTAAGCTATTCTCTTCTCTCTGGGGAGAACATGAACTATTTTATTAATAAGAAAGAATGTTATGTAGAGAAGACATTGAATTACTGAATAACAAGATCCACACTTGATTTATTTATTTACTTCCACTTCATGCCTGAAACAGTAATGTAGGTAAGAAGAAAGAGGATCAAGTGTGTAGCAGATTGGAAAAAAAGACATAAAAGGTTTCTTCCTTCAAACTACATGAGCTTCATTTTTAAGCTTATCTATCAACTCATCCACTGAAGAAACCATAACGCCAGATTTCCTCTTTGGAGGCTCTGTGACTTCCAAGATCTCTATGTCGGATTTAATGTCTACTTTCAGATCTTGCACCGTCATTTTCTTTATCGGCTTCGATTTAGCCTTCATTATGTTAGGGAGTGATGCATATCTTGGTTGGTTCAGCCTCAAATCAGTTCTGCATTGTAAAATCAAAAGCTGTTATAAACAAAACGAGAGCTGTTGCACCTTTCTACTAAAGCTAGCTCAATAATTAGTGAGATCACATAGAGTTCCAAAAGGATGAAGTTAACAGAAAGATGAACAATTCAAAAAACTGAAAATGACATATACAGGGTTAGTTGATGCATGATACATATAAACCTCAAACTCAAGAGAGATCATGACACAATCATGTAAGAATCTAGAACTTACGTTATCACAGCGGGTAAGTCTACATTAAGAGTCTCAAGACCTCCATCTACTTCTCTATCCACCGTTGCAACATTCTTATCTTTATCCAACACAACCTACTAAACAACAATGAGCAGAACACATAAACAACTACTCACAACTTGGAGAGCAGAGATAAAAGATAAAATATGATCCAAAAGCTTTCAAGAGAACTACTTCATTACCTTCGATGCAAATGTTGCTTGTGGCCAACCAAGCAAAGCTGCAACCATTTGTCCTGTTTGATTGCAATCATCATCTATCGCCTACAGAAACAAATAAACGTTTTAAGTCAATAAATTTCACATCAAACTTCATCCAAACATTAAGCAAATTCAACATTTTTCAAAGCATTGTACAAAGATCAATGTTCATCATCCTAAACGATCCAAAACGGACGAGTCAAATACGAATCTTTTGCCATCTAAAACCTGAAAAACCTCAACTTTAGCTAAGATTCTAGAGATTTGATGAATTCTCAATCAAATTCATGAGTCATGACCAAAGTTCAAAACTTGTCAATCAAATTCGTGAGTCGTAACCAAAGCTCAAAACTTGCCACTCAAATCATATCCAAACATACCTGTTTCCCTAAGAAAATCAATCCAGGATTCTCAACATCAGCTAAACTCTTCAAGATCTTAGCAATCGTCAAAGGAAGAAAACTAGAATTGGTCTCAACATGAATTCCTCGATCAGCACCCATAGCTAAACCAGTACGAAGTGTATCCACACATTGTGAAGGTCCAATACTCACTGCAATAACCTCTTTAGCAAAACCAGCTTCTTTGATTCGAAGTGCTTCCTCAAGTGCGATCTCACAAAATGGATTCATCGACATCTTCACATTTTGGGTTTCTACACCAGTCTGATTCAACGATAAAGGAATAAACTTTAATGGTGATTCAACGGTTACAGAGAGATTTAGAGATGGGTTTTGTTTGTACCTTATCGGGTTTGACACGGATCTTGACGGCGTAGTCGACGACACGTTTGACGGCGACGAGAATCTTCATCGTCCGGTAACAGCAGAGAAAATGAAAAAGAGAACTTTTGATTTCTGGATCGGAGGAAGATGATGAGTGACTCATCATGAAAAAATGGCATGGTATTCGGTTTAATCCGGTTTAAATTTCTCGGGTTTTAGTTTTTTTTTTTTTTTTGTTCTGTGAAAGACAGGTTTAGGCCCAAAATAACAATTGACAATATCCATATATTGGCCATAGGTCTTAATGGGCCAGATTCCATTACTTTTTCATTAGTTTGTGACTTTGTGTCAAAGATGTTTTAAAAAGTTTTTGTTACTTTTAAAAATAGACATGAATAAACAAGGGTTTTGTGCAAAAAAACTCTCGAAGTAGCCAATTTTTGCAAGAAAACCCTCCATCTCAAATAAATGCAAGTCAATACCACCATCTCAAAAGTCACCCGCAATATAGCCCTCGCGTGTATCGATGACGTGGCAGCCGTTAACTCCGTCAGTGGGTTTTGTGCAAAAAAACCCTCGAAGTAGCCAAATTGCAAAAAAACCCTTCATTAAACCAATTTTTGCAAAAAAAACCCTTTCGGGTATTTTAAAATTCGGGTACGGGTTCGGGTTTACCTATAATACCCAAAAATAAAAATTGTTGTATGTAAATCTATCCACCCTATTGTTCGTACCGAAGTTGCAATAATAAATAAGTAGGAGTTTTTGGGAGCGAACGGAGATATTTCTCTTATTAACGATAATCGTGCTTCTGTGATTACAGAGATGGAATTCGAGTGAACGAGAATACGAAATATACGCAAGAGTTAGCTATGATTTTTAGAGAAGTAATATATGTTTTGTCGAGGCTCTAAGCCTTACAGAAGGTGATTCCGTGCCGGGCACGTTTTCGAGGCTCTGAGTCTTACAGAAGTTGATTTCGTGGCTTGCACGTTTTTCGAAGCTCTGAGTCTTACAGAAGTTGATTTCGTGGCTTGCACGTTTTTCGAGGCTCTGAGCCTTACAAAATATTTTGTCTCTTTTGCGACGAATTTGGGCTTTTACAGAAGATTTTCTGGTTTTACAGAAAACTTATGTAAATTTTACAGAATTCTTCTGTTAAACCCTAGATTTTTCCTTCTCCTATAAATGGCTCCACCATGTCTTACTTTGATCATGCCAATGATCAGAAATTTAAGAAGATATCAAAATCGATTATTACCATATTGTTTCCTTTGCTTCCCTGTACAATCGAATTCTCCAACAGTCGCTTTTTCAAAACAAACCTTGGCTACTTTGAGGGTTTTTTTTGCACAAAATTTGGCTACTTTGAGGGTTTTCTTGCAAAACTTGACTACTTTGAGGGTTTTTTTGCACAAAGTTCACTCGTCGTGACGTTTTGGAACGGAGTTAACGGCTGCCACGTCATCGATACACGCGAGGGCTATATTGCGGGTGACTTTTGAGATGGTGGTATTGACTTGCATTTATTTGAGATGGAGGGTTTTCTTGCAAAAATTGGCTACTTCGAGAGTTTTTTTGCACAAAACCCAATAAACAACATACACAATAAAATTTCAGAACACCTATTTTGAATTTTATTATAGTATCGACAATTATCTGAATTCTTCAGTTTCGAATTGATGATCTCGAATCCATTTTCAGCCAAGAATCTTTCAATCTCGATCTACTTCATTTTAATTGAATTTTAGGATTTATGTTGTTTAATTTCGCAATTCTGCAGTTTTTCAATATCTACTATACATTTTTTAAGTACATTTTAAAAAATCCAATTGGGTGGATTTTTTTTCTGATTTTGACTCGGAAATCTTTAATTGGATCTTTCCTTAATTTTTTGGTAAAATTAATAAACGAAATTAATCAATAAAATATATATATATATTTTCTCAACTAATTACTATACCTAAACTCTTTATTTATGACATATTCTCTACGATTTTTATAGATAAAAAAATCAAATATGATGATTTAATGCTAATATAACAAATTTGAGCTAATTTCCTAAAACCTCTCTACCTAATTTAAACATAAATATATGATTTTCATTTCACTTTTATATGATCTTATATTTATATTATTTTGAACTATTATAAAATATATATAGTTAATAAAATTTTAGATTTTTTTCTTCTGCATATGCTATGATTCAAATTTTTAAAAAGGACAAATATTACTCAATCGATGAAGAAAAAAAGTATCTGTATATTAACATTTTTGAAAAACAAATTTGTGCGTTTAATCAGGTCGTATTTTTCTTTTTTACTCTAACCCGGAATTGAGTCATTCGGATATTTCCTTAATTTCTACAATTATCCAAAACGGGGCAATATACCACGGGTGAAATCTTAAAATTAACAAATCGTAATACAATTATTTAGTATTTTAAGATACAATTATAACTTATTTTTACGGGGTGGTCCAAAAATACACACTAATTTAAAAATATATATATTATGGAAACCATTTGAAAGTAAACTTTTAAATTGACTCGAATTATATGTCTTTTAAATAAAAGTGTTATTAAAAAAATAACAAAATGATGTTTAATTTTTACAGGACGGGATTATGTGGTGGGACGGGTTTGGATTGATATTAATACGGAACAAAATATCACGGGTGAAATCCTAGGATTAACAAATCAAAATACAATTATAAAATTTTAAACACTAAACAAAACAAATACAACTTAAAATTTCCATTTTTTAGTTACAACGCATGTGACCCGCGGTGTATAACAAAAAATATTATATACAACAAATTCATCAGTTTATAAAAAGATAAAAAAAATCAAATAATTAACCCGCGGTGTACCGCGGGTCATATCCTAGTATTTGTACACTTGGCAAACCAATAAATGCGTTTGTGTAGTGATCTTGTTTATTTACTACAAATATATGCTATATAGCCATAAGACATTAACCTCAATAAGAGTAGGAGGAAAACTATAGTGAATAAAAAAAAATATGATTTGTTGTTTGAGATGGTAATCAACTAACGAATTTACAGTCCGTCCCCATAAACCGTTCGGGCGTCGACTTAGCATACATGATGAAAAAAGATTCCAAATAGGTCGACAGTTTCATTGTCATCGCAGTATTCGCAATATGTGCACAACCATTGACTTTCTGCTTGGCACTAAGTTATGGATTCAACATCATTTTTGTTGATTCCATCTTTGTCAGTGTTACCATGTATTTTTCATTTATATATAGCGTGGAATTTAACAAAATTGTTGATACTAATGACCTATGGTGCTATTTTCATATACACAAAAATTCAACAACACTAGTAAAGTCTGACTTACAAATCATAGATAAATAGAGAAGTTTGTTTTTTTTTTGGAGGATTTTGAGTGAGTTTCTTGATGTTTTTGAGTGAAAGGTGATATAATAATACATACCTATACATTGTAATATGTATATGTGTAAACTAGAGTTCATGCTCAATACTTCATTCATTTTCTAAATAAAAGAATGCCAATTTAGTACAAAGAGATTTACCAAGTTTGTTAAACCTCCAAGGCTTTAAATAATTCAAACAAAATCATGAATGGTGTTATTCGTTTATCAATATTAATGCTCTATCCAGATCCAGATATCATATGATGTTTGCTTAAACGCAACTAAAAACATCAGCTAGATGAATTGTAAAACTCATCCAAGAAAATAATTTATTGGATAAGTGTCTTCCAAGTATTATAAAAGTCTGCCTAACATTAGCTTGTTCACTAATTTCTGATCCGACAAACAAACACTTGGTTGTCAACGACACAAACGCATATCCAAAATTAGCAGCTTTTAGACCATTCAACATCTTGAATATCAGAACCAACTGATTCCATTATCACTGAGTGGTATCCTTCAAAAGCAATGTTCTGTGCCAGATGACCGTAATATACGTCAACTCCTGCTCTAAACAATTCAGGAAACACAACAACATCAGCTCCTATTGAATGATCCCGAAGAAGACGCAAAGCATCTTCTAACCTTTGAAAGATATTAATTGATCTTACCCTTTCTCTGATATCTCTAAATCGAGAAACTTCATACGGAGGTCTGTAGGTGCAAGAAAACACACTGAAAGTTTATTCTGGTACTCCATATTTCTGAATATGCTCTAAAGCACTTGCCACATAGTAGACATAGCATAAATGCCCCTCCCGGGCAAAAAAACACTTTCCGAGAAGGTCTGGACGACAATACATACACATGTGCTAAGCAGGTAGGGGCTTATAAGTAGGTTCCCACCCTGCATATAAAATTATAACACAAATCATATTAATTTTTCTTATAGATTTATCTTTTCATACTTAACAAATTACGAATTTGCACCAAAATTTTATATTAACATTAAAAAAATTGAATATCGATTTCGATTTACAACTCGAAAAACACAAAAAAAATAATCCAAAAGTGAACTATTCTATTAACAAATCAGTTTAAAGAGAAAAACTGATATATATGAACTACAACATTTAAAAAGCACAAAAAATTGTGCGCAATATGATATTGGAAATAAAATCACGTTTACCAAATTAGCGATTGTGACCAATTCTCTCACCTTCGCAAATTTACAGTTGTGGGGGAAAAAATAGTTATGTGATTATGATGAAGACATGTTTATTTAAGTCATTTTGATATCAAATGCATCCAAAATTGCATATATGGCTTTGAGTTTTGAAAAACTTCTAAATTTTATATAAATATATCTTAATTAACTGTTACATTTTCTGGTAGTTATGAAAATTTAATGCATAAATTGTAAACAATAAGGTTTTGTACGCTTTTCAAATTTGTCTAATTACATTTATGGAGTGACTTGACAAACAACATCAACCTTATATTAGCCTTTTTCCAGGATAGTAATTATACTATTATTTTTATTGATAATATATGAAATATATAATTTGGACAGTTGTGCAACATTGGTCCAACTCAATACACAAACTTTTTTTTGTTTTTTTAACTAAAATACCCTTTCATTCATGTCGATCCTCTCTTGAAAAACATCTTTTATAGCTTAGAATTTGACTTTAGAGATGAATTTAAAATATATACACGTGAAGAAACAAAAGTGAAGCAGTTACATAAAACATATTTTCAAGGAGATTTTGGTTTCTTGATCATGGCCTTACGCTGACATAACTATTAAATTCCAAGGAGATTATGGTTTCTTTGTAATTTGGATATCATTGATTATATGAGGAGGAGATTTTGACGTAGAAGTGTGAAGCCCTCCATGAGTTTTATTACAAGAAATATTTTTGATTTTTTTCAAACTTTAGAAAGTCCAAAAATTTCTCTGTCATTCATAATACAACTCAACTTTTTTGACTTTTAAATCTAAACACACCTATATTTTCTCCTCCTACCTCACCGACCAAATAATTAAAAAATCCATCTCAAAAGTCAAAAATATTAAAAATGAAATAATAAAATACAAATGTAGAAAGAAACAAGAAAATAAAACAAAGAAGCAAAGCGGCCCATTAGGGTTCAAAATAAAGAGGCAATATAGAGGAACTTCTAGAACGTCTACTGCTCCCAAAAGAGAAGAAAAATCTCTTCACTTTGGAATTACTAACATTGCCACTACTACTACTACATCCTCCTCCGTCTCCAACCACCGGAACTTCGCGGTTTTTACGAATCGCCTCTTGAACCGCAAGGTAAAGCTGTCGATCCGCCGATGAATCCATTGAGATTGATCTTCTAATGGGTTGAATACTACCGAACTGTTCGTCTTTAACTCTTCTTATGTCGATGCATTCGTCTCCCATACTCGTCATCTTGTGAAGCTTTCGGGGTTTTCTTGGAAGCCCTCCACGGTCAAGCTTCTTTGGAGATGTACGGATCGAATTTTGAGTGTTTTCGGTGAGTAGGTGACCTGAATTTGACCTTTCTTGTTCCATAAGTAACCTTCCGCTTTGCGGACTATCTCTGTCACTACCGATGCTATTGCCCAGCTCAATGACCACATACTCGTTCTCACCTCTTAACACAACGGTACCAGATCCCACAAACGGATTCTCGGGAGAAGAGCTCGGTGCAGAAACCCGATCCGGAGGGAAACTTGTGTCACAAGAAACCCTAGCTCTACACAAAGGGCAATTAGCATTGTTCTGAAGCCAAACATCGATACAATCGATATGAAACAAATGACAACAATTTGGGATAATCCTCAACTTCTCCTCATCTTGAAACTCACTCAAACAAACAGAGCATTCTTGAGAACTCTTCTCTTCTTCTCCTTCTCCCGTAAAAACGCCGCCGTTTTGGTCATTTCTCTTCTTGAATTTAAAGATTGGTATTGCTCTAATGACAGATTCATCAAGACCACGGTTTCTAATCTCTGGAGAGTAAACCATTAAAGGATTTTGGTCGTTGCGTCGCCTTCGAGATAAGGAGAATCGGTGAAGAATGTCGATTCGGTGCCAGTTGAGACAACATTTGATAACAAAAACATAGTAGCTTACAAGTAAAAATGCTGTGGCTAAGATTCCAATCACCGCGACGGCTAAGATCGGAAAACTCGTCCCCGTAGAGCTAACACGGTGGAAGAGAGGTGGCGGCGGTGGCGGCGAAAAGCTCAGATCCCGAAGAGGATTGTGACGGTTTGATTTATCCATTTAACTAACTATAAGAACAATCTCATGCTCTAATAGAGAATAAAAGAGTAAACTTTGAAAGTTCTTGAAGAAAGAAGAGAGAAAGAGATTGGTATAGAAGAAAAACAGAGAAGAGAGAGATAGATGGAGTAAAATGAAAGTTCGGTGAGATTTCTTGGCTCTTTATATGATTATAATAATACTTTTCTTGATCGGTGTGACTCGTTTACTACAAGAATATTTTTTATATAAAGATTTAAAATTAAAATCGAAATATAAAAGTTAATTTTTGATTGGTGGGAAAATTGAAAATTTGTTTGATTGTTTGTTTATGTACTAGTGGTGGGGAACTTTTTTAATTTAAGTAAGAACCTGACATATATTTGCATTAACTATGATTTACTAAAAAAAATTGTTTGCATTAATTGTTATGATTATATTATTTGATCTACCTTTTGGGTTTGGAGTAATGTTGCTTTTGATAATTCTTATTACTAATTTGATTTGATATTTTATGATAGTGAAATTTCGTCTAATGAGATAAAATTGTAATCTTAATTAATGCGATGTAATGATGATATAATTTGCTTCACTAAACATATACTACCATTTAGCAATTATTAAATCAATATATTTGTTTATGAATATGATTTATGATCTAACCATGATTGTCGGTTGCATTTTAATAATTAGTTGTAGACTTTGTTGTAGTAATGAGGTTCTTGATTATAGAATCTTTTCAAGTTTCAGATAAATCTCACGTACACAAATTGAATTTTTTTTTCTATAGAATATTGATCATTTCAAACTGTTTTTCATTTTTTCTAGTACTGCATATAGTATCTTGTTAGATGATAATATAAGCTTGACTAAACACACAACTTTGAAAATACGTTAGGGTTATGTTACCATTCATTCAAATAAAAAACTTATAGTATAACTTTTCCTTTATTAACTACTAATTGTCACCCATAAGACTCAAGAAATTTTTAAGAAAATGAAAATATTAAAGAAAGAAAAACTTAAATGGTGAGTGTGGTTAGTTTTATTTTATTTCTGATAACGTGAGACAGGTTGATGATTCAATTCATCTTAACAACAAAATATGTAATTATATATCCAATTCGATTTTTTCAAATCTAGCCTATAAGTACGACGAATACAAGTTTAAAGAGATAAAGATGGTTTGAAGAGATTTAGTAGAGTAACAATAGGATATTTAAAATTTTATTTGAGGCACATAGACTAATGATTGGAAACGTTTTAAAATAAAAAGGTTAGTAGGATTTTTATAACACGTCCATTTCTTTAACTAGAATAATCATTGCTAATCACAAATTCAATAAAAGAAGAAGAAAAACAAAAAGTAAAGGCGCACATGCATTCCATTTCCACCATTACCTATGTATTCACATACTAGCTTATATAATACATTATACATACAAGCTATGTTTTCATATTGACGCCTTAGTTAAGTAAATGAGATGGCATTTTTTAAAAGTCAACATTGTTCACCGAATTTTTGAGACGGCTTATTTGGTACACACAGAGAAACCATCGAATGATGATACAACTCAAGACCTAAAGCATATTTAGCTAATGAATCGGCAATTATATATGAATCAACTAATCTTGGCATCTATATCAAAGTGGATCGAGCTGAGATATCATTCAACTCTAACCAAATATTAATTAAAAGCTTTTTTTCTTTTCCCCATATATGATTCTTAAAAACTCTTTACAAGTTTTTATATATATTTTTCACAATTTGTTTTAAGAAATTAATTACTACCATTTTTCTATCTTTTTTTTAAGATCTATTTCACTAATAATCATTTTATTTTTATCATCACCATTTATATTAGTGTAAGAGAGTTTTGATTAGTATTTTTTTTTAAAAACCATATACATTCATATATGCCATTCAATTATTTCATTAATTTCTTAATTCTTAATATCTTTATTGAATTTTAATTACTCAAAATCATACAACTATTCAACCAAAAAAAAACATTCAAAACAATTATTATCCATAATAAGAGTTCAAGAATCATTCAAAATAAGTATTTAAATTATTTATATCTTTTAATTTATTTTTTAAATGTTTATTTGCTTTGTTAGCAAAATTTTATGGGGATCGAATATTTTACCTGAATTTAACATTATTTAAATTTATTATTAATATATAATAATAATAAATAATAAGTTACATCTTTTACAACTTTGTTCTACCAATCGGATTTTAACAGCCAAAGTTTCTACAACCAAATTCTCTGCAGCTCAAAATTTTAAAGTCAAATCCTCTAAAGCCAAAACTAACAACCGTTACCAATCGGCTTCGTAGTCTATTTCTGTGAATTGTAGAATCTAGAACAAATTAATTTTTAAATTAATTAATTGTAAAAGTTACTAATAATTGAGCTGCTAATTTATAAATGTTTTTAGGTATACGTTTTGTTGATTTCAATTGTCTTGGTAAATTTTCTATATCTTAATCAATTCATCTATTATTGTTTTTAAGAAATATTTCTGTTAACCAATACACAAATGTAGTTGTTATTATGATTTTTTTTAAAAGTCAAATTTTATTATAATCCACATAACAAAAAGTCTAAACAAATTAAAACAAAAATCTACACATTGGATACTATAACTTTTAAGAAAAAAAACATACCAAAAACTATTTTCTTTTGTTTTCATAATTACTGCAATGATGCAGCGATAAGAAAACATTCAAGTAACTTTCATGGTGGGGTATAAAATGGAAGACCATAAAATTGTCTAAATCTTTAACGGAAAATTCCAAAGAAAAGTCAAATCTTACGCAAGATTCCAATATTCGTATCCTTTTTGATTTTTAACCTTATTTTCTATTACATTCACCACCAAAAAACGAAAAAGATATTGAAATAGAATATGGACCGACACTGCTTCTGTAGTCTATCGTGTATTCGTGTGTATGTTGACGATTGTGTAATTATATTATTCAATAATTATTACCTTTTACACATAAGACAATTTAATAGTAAATATATTGATGGCCTACCCCTACTTTTAAAATGAAATGTCACAGAAAAGAAAAGCTATAAACTTTTGCTTATATAATAATTTGGCATCGGAATCTTGGATTCGTTCGTTTCACACTAGTCAAGGATTGTCGAAATATATATCATTGTTTCTCTTAGATGTGAACTATCAATACTGTTGAAACTTTAAAGTATTCAAAAGATATAAAATTGCATGCAACTAGAATAAATTTTAGGAGATGTGAATATGTATTTTCTCCAATTAATAGAGCTGAAAAAAATAATATTATGTACCATTTATACGTATCAAACTCACAATATATGGATTAAATTCATATTTTCCAAGGACAAAGGTAATATATATCTTCACGATATAATGATGTATACAAATATTCCATGAAACATTTGTTGGTAAACAAACTAATTTGTGTTTTATTTTCTCGTAATTGGCGCATAGCTACATATATCTTTTTGATAGAATTGATGTAGTTGGACTCAAATTTTTTAATTAATTAAAAATGTTAGAAAATTGTTTATTATTGTCATAAAATGTCTCTTGCTTGACACCTTCACACGGTCATAAAATATGCGTATTTGGGCAGAACAGAAGAAGGTTCGCCATAAAGTAGGGTAAGCTGTTTCGACTATTTTGGGAATAAGACTTCAACTAAGAAACTTCTGCAAACCTAGCTAACTACTGTCAGAGAGCACGTAAAAAGTTACTAACACATAGATCATGAATGAATCCTATATATAAATTTCATTTTGAGTGGGTACAAGATTTCGTGAATTTATGATTTTCTTTTTCTTATATAATTCAAATTATGATCTTTGTTACTTTAGTCGCAACTTCCTTGTTAGTTGTTACTACGGACGTGAGAGAAAAAAGAAAGAAACACAGAGAAGATAGAACAAATACATATTTACATAGTTTAGTAAAAAAAAATTCCAGTATTGTTATATGTTATGTTGACTACATCAACTTACAAAGTTCATACCATAAATTTATCTACATCCTATATGTTTTAGGATATTAGTAAGTAACTTTTGACTCAAAAACATTTAAGAAAATAGCCTTGAGTCAAAAAAAACTTTAAAAACTAACGTTTTCCACATATGTGAAAATTTTAAATGGTCCTTAAACAAAAAAGAAAACATCTATCAGCGTATTATAATTTGGAGAAAAATACGAAATTAAATAACAATAACAAAACATATGGAAATAAAGAAATTTATTGAAATTCCGATGAGGAAAGAGAATGTTATATATTTATATTTTTAGTAGTAAAGTGAATGTACTTCAAGAGTTATTTAAATTGGAGTCTCATTCATAGATTACATGATATTCATATGAAATTTGCCACATATATATATATTGATAAATCCTACGGCTGATCCGGTCAGTCCCAATAGAAACGTAACGAGATGCTGCAGAGTAGACTTTTTCTTAAAAGACCAAGACACTGTCTATTCTAAGTTTGGAATGCTTTCCGTTTAATGTCCGGAGATAGTCATATCGTATGTTATTGGACTATTAGGTAAACTGCTTGATTCTTTAGTTCAAACCTAAATTTTCCATGTGATATTTTGTTTTTAGGAACACTAGAACCCTAGAAAGAATGTTTTAACACATTCCCAAATCTTATTTACCATGATCATAACCACTCTAAGAAAAAATATTTTAGCACATTCCCAAGTCTTTAGACCACAATCATACGGTCCAAAAATTAATTTATATCACAAATTGTATAAATATGACATATTGTCTAAATTTGTTAGACAATTTGACCTCGTTATTGTAAGCATTGTACATATCGTATATGTATTATGACAATTATGGGCTTATGTTTTTGTTTTATAAGAGAAACTACAACGTTATATATTAGGAACCATACGTAACAAATGGTTGATAATGTCAAACTAAATCTTCTTTTCACTTTAACCACAATTGACTTTGACTTGAGACTTATGGTATCATCATTCTACGACTTGCGTTTGGTTTGGCGTTTATTATACGCAAGTGAATGGAATTAGTAGCAACTAGCACGTGATCATTTTGGTGTGTCACTTGAGTGCATCCGATTATATATACACACAGTCACATACCACAAACGAGAGATAAACTCACTAC